TTTACAAAAGCAATCTACAAACTTGTAGTAAACCTTTACAAACTTTCTTTAATTGCAGGCTGAGCTGGATGCTGAATACAAAAGAGTGAGCCTCAACACTTAAGGTAACTTCTATTCAGTTGAAGAGCAAGTTGTGTGATGTGTCCTCACATAACAGGACACAGACTCGGCTTTCTCTTTTCTACATTCAATGTTGGTTATACACTTACTTGTGCGTGTTTGTGGTTTTCTAGGTTTGTGCTGAGTTTCATCATATCAGAGAAAGTGGCACACACCAGCAAGATTTCACAGATGTTGCATGACATTCTAAATGTTTGATCTTCAGGTGAGTGCAAATTCACAAACACTAACTACCTCCATCACTGTCTTCATTGTATATTAACATAAAGTTGACCTGCTTATTTAACATGTTTATTTTTTTTTTGTTTACATGATGTCAAAATGCTCTCCCAGTGTATGTGTGTGAGGAGAACTGTTCTTCAGGACATGAAATGTAAGTATTAAGTGCATTAATAATAGATCTGAAATAGAGTGGGGGAACTATGACGTCAGAACCAGGAAGTGTAATTCGCCGCAGGTTCCTTTGAGATTTTCCTATGGGTTTTTTTTAATGGGGTTTTTCAATTTATGAATAAAATAAAGCCTGTGGTAAGCATAACTTGACGATACTTCTACTTTTGTTCTACAATGTAAACTGCACACACTCACAGCCTTCTGTTCTGGCTACTTACTAAAAACATAAGTTTCAAAAATGATTATAACTGCTTCAAAATTTGTATTTTGGGTATGGATGTGTAATTTACGTTGTACAACAAAACGTAAAAGTATTGTCAAGTTATGTTTACCACAGGCTTTATTTTAATTGTAAAACTCCATTATAAAACCCCATAGGAAAATCTAGAAGGAACCCACGGTGAATTACTCCGGGTTCTGACATTATAGTTCCCCCACTCTATTGGCAGTAAATATAAATGTCTACTTTTAGTCTATGAAGTTAAAGTTTTACCCTCTGTGCTTATTCCAGGAGGAATTGGGCGAGCCAGACATCACTGACACAAACACCTCTCCTGCTGATTTTGGACAACGAAACCCCTACAAGTCCTGCAAGCACTGCAGTTGTGATGAGATGATCTTCCAGTGTTTGACATTCAGAAATGCACAGTTCATGTGGTTTAAAAAAGGCTGAATAAAAAATCCTCAATTGTATAGCCACAGTTGTGCGTGTATTTTTTTTTATGCATAAGTGTATTTTTTTTAGTTAGTATTTGTATTTAATAAAGCACTACTGCATTAAAATAATTGGTAAATGAAAAATATTACATATGATAAACAATAATTTTAAGTACACTGCACTTAAACATTAAGCAAAAACAAATTTAAGCTTTTTAGTTTGACTTAATTGTTATTTATGATTAATGTTAACTTAAAAAATGTGAGTTGCTTGATTACATTTGTTGAGGTAATCGGTGTCCACAAAAATGTAGTATTCTGAACTTATCGGATTTTACAGTGTGCTAATGGGGGTGTAAACAGTTGGAAACACTAGTTGTGTAGCCAACATTAAATGTATATTTTTTACAAAAGCTATGTTCAAATTGCACCCAAATAATACATTTTCTTTATATATATTTTAAGAAGAAAACTGTTCTGTATACGCTATGTCAAAATAGCATATAAAGTTAAAGGGGTAATATGATGTTGCTAAAAAGAACATTATTTTGTGTATTTGGTGTAATGCAATGTGTTTATGCGGTTTAAGGTTCAAAAAACACATTATTTTCCATATAATGTACATTATTGTTTCTCCTCTATGCCCTGCCTTTCTGAAACGCGTTGATTTTTACAAAGCTCATTGGTCTGAAAAAGCGAGGTGTGCTCTGATTGGCCAGCTATCCAGTGCGTTGTGATTGGCCGAATGCCTCAAGCGTGTGACGGAAATGTTACGCCCCTCTCCATACTGTGATGCCGTCTCCCAGCAAGATGAGACAAAACCAATAAAACCCATTACAAATGAGGCATTTGTTGCATCCAGTGGGGACATAATTACTGATTATAATGACTTATGCTCTCTTTTTGTGCGTTGCGTTGCATAAACATAAAACCATGTCTGCATTTGTGATCGGAGAAACAACAAACAACAAGCCTACTCTACACTGCTCAAAACTCGCGTTTGAATCATCAGTGGCAAATCTTTTAAATATGAAAAAGTACTTACAGGCTATGAGTCAGAAGCGCCAGACTGTCCTTGCAAAGTTTGAACTGCCCAACTTTACAGAAACAGCCTTTGTGCCACAGACGCATTGTAGGCTACTGGTTCAGGAAACAGTCCTCATCCTCCATAAAATGTGCAGCACGCATCTGAATATTTCGGTTGAACTGTTCTGGAACAGTGTTGTAAATACAACTTAACCACTGATTTCTAGTTGTGTCCTCTTTTGGAAGGCCAAACAAAGTAGTTTCGCTTTCACAACGAAACACACAGCGACTCCACAACATGGCAGCGGCGGCAACAGCAAGAATAAAAGTTACGCCTTCTTTCTTTGCGTGAACATTTGGGCGGCGTTATGTAAATCTTCCCACATCGTGATGTAGACATGTGGAGCCGTGTTAGAACGAGCCGTTTTAGGTAGGAGTGGTTGACTCTTAACTTTTATAAAGGATATCTCTTGCAGTTGCATTTACTGTCCCTCAGTGAAATTTCACAGTCAGTTTTGCATGAGCTCCCCACACAGATTTTGCTTGGGTTTAAGTTGGTCAGACAAATTGACCATGTTAACCAACAGAAATCAGCTTGGTTTGAAAGTGACTTCATGCATCGCTACACTATTGACGATGGGCCTTTCTTGCCTGGGAAATTTTTTAAATTTAACAGCACCTTTACCAAGCAAGAGCTAGAATAAAACGTTTTTGGGTAAGCTGTTACCACCTAAAATTACCCAGAACAACCCAGCAAACCACTGACAACCCAGCATATACTGTAACTGTACAAATGAATTAGACCTAGTCCATAAAATAGATCCAAATCATAAATATTTCATTGTGACGCTCAAAGGAAGCACAATAAATATGAAAAATAAAACCCAGATGGATGTTATGGAAATCCCACAAACACATTGTTAGAGTATAATGGCGTTAGAATTATCAGTTAACTGCAGTAGCGGTTAATAGTTATCACCACTTAAATAAAACCGTTTTCTACAATGCAGATATTCTGCAAAGTCCATTTCTGCTTAAATGAAACATTAAATAAAATGAAACATTCTTATCTCAACATTCAAATTAAAAACTCCAGTAGAGCTCCAACCCCTCCTCCATCAGAAACCTCCAGAGGACCAATCCTAGAACAGAGACATCTCCTCACTACCTCTGAGCTCTGCTGCCGTCTCATTGAGTTAAAAACATCCCCTTATCTGGGAGCTGGGAGAACTCCATGTGTCTGCTCAGACCAGAGAGGGGCTGGGCACAACGTGTCCGGTTTGACACGTCTGAGGCAGGCTGCAGCACTCATCTGACAGGCCTGCATGCAGCAGACGCTGCACAGCTAATTAGAGAAGTGTTTATGAGAACAGCGAGGAAACGCTCTCACTCTGGGAGATGGAGCGCTGGGTCAGTTCTGACACACTCCATCAGTGCAGCACTGCTTGGACTCGGAGGTACATGGAGAAAATGAGGAAGAGAGAAAGTGCAAGAAGAGAGAGCACATCTCGTTCCTGGGCTTGTTGCAGAGGAAACGCTAGTGATGACAGACATCCTGTGTTTGTAAGACAGTGATGAGGCCAATTAGGAGCTTCAGCTGTTCAAGACTGGCTTCAAATTAAATATAGATGAATTAGGAGGACATGATTAAAGAAAATGACCAGTTGTATTCTGAAGATGTACATACAAAAGGAATAATGAGATCAGTTTCAAGATCCAGTCTTCTTATGTAAGATCGAAGGAAAGAGACTCAATGATGGAAAAAGTAATGGTTTTAAATGGTTGGCCTGTTTCTGTCATTGGTTTCGTAGTTAGAGGTCAAGCCAATCTGCTGCAAAGCCAAAAGGAGCTGGATTAAGGAAACCAATTTCCAGAGTTAGTATTGCAGATTGTTTTTTGTTTGTTTGTTTTTTGCAATGCTCTGAAAGTGCCACAGAGTCTCAGTGTTTTCACTTTTTCAGGGAAATCTATTATTTATGTATCACTTACAGCTGTCTCTGCATATTAAACTGGGATATGTTTCACCTTTAAGAAATATTTAGAGTTGTTATTATTATTTTACTTTACAAATGCATTTTAGTTGCTATATTCTAATCATCTTATCAAGTTGTTTAATATCAATTTCACTTGGTTTGATTAAAATAAATAAAAGGGATAGTTTATTTACATATATATACAGTGGGTACGGAAAGTATTCAGACCCCCTTAAATTTTTCACTCTTTGTTATATTGCAGCCATTTGCTAAAATCATTTAAGTTCATTTTTTTTCCTCATTAATGTACACACAGCACCCCATATTGACAGAAAAACACAGAATTGTTGACATTTTTGCGTGTGTGTGTGTAATTCTCAAATTCTTTGAAATTGAGATTTATAGACACATGAAAGCTGAAAAAATAAGCTTTTCATTGATGTATGGTTTGTTATGATAGGGCAATATTTGGTCGAGATACAACTATTTGAAAATCTGGAATCTCAGGGTGCAAAAAAATTAAATATTGAGAAAATCGCCTTTAAAGTTTTCCAAATGAAGTCCTTAGCAATGCATATTACTAATCAAAAATGAAGTTTTGATATATTTACAGTAGGAAATGTACAAAATACCTTCATGGAACATGATATTTACCTAAAATCCTAATGATTTTTGGCATAGAAGAAAAAATGATCATTTTGACCCATACAGTGTATTGTTGGCTGTTGCTAAAAAAATATACCCCTGCGACTTAAGATTGGTTTTGTGGTTCAGGGTCACATATATACGCAAGTGAAATTACAGCATGCAGTGAGTGTTCAGTTTACTTAATTTTACTGCACTGGTCAGCTGCAGAAAGATTTACAGTACATGCTCTACCAGCTAACATTGACATGATGCATCAAACACTGTCAGGGAGGCTGGCAGATGGTGACGAGCAATCATAATGCTTGTCATCATGTTTAACACCCTTTCACAGCATCTGCAGTAAACAAAAAAATGCTCCTGAATTTGATCTTCAGCTATGTTCAACCAATAGTACTTTTCTACTAATCTTATCTGAGGAAATGACATTGGAAGCATAGAGCGATTTGAAGGATGAGAGAATAATACTCATCTATTTAAGTTTTTATGCTGCGTCTAGCAGTTCTCCCCTTATATATTCTCATCTATAATCTATCATCTCTGAATTTCATGTAGCCTATACACTATAATTTCTTAAGTAGAACTTTTTGTTATCAACAACCCAAACCAAAAACATCTCACAGGGCTGGGTTTTAATATTTAACTAGTCTAAAAACTTACAGTAACTACGACCTGATTCAAATAACATTCACTTAGGACTAGTGGTCGACCGATATTGTTTTTTTTGATGGCTGATGCCGATATCTTGGAAAGCAGGATGGCTGATATAATTTTATTTATCTTAATGTTTAAGAAATTTGAAATCATTTGAAAATGGATTAAAAAGTAAATGTGTTAAATAAGCATACTTATACTGTAGATGACGAAGTATTTTTCACAAATAAATAAATATTTAATAAAAAATATAATAAAAAAAAAGGAAGTAAACACAGTAACCAACAGGGCACTCAGTATTCTGGGAAGTTTGTGTGCATTGTGAATTATATTTTTTCAAATAAAGCCAAGGTAAGACTCATTTTACATACAGCACACAGTGGAAATGACATGAATATGGCAGTGGGCAAATGCATAAAGCGCAGCATAATTTGAAATCACTAGTTTAATGTTTTTCGATCGCGTGTCTCCAGGGAAGCTGAACTCTCCTCCTGTCCGCATTCAATTCACACGGACCGACCATCACGCAGAGAACACGCGATCATGCAGGATACACATGCACACTTCACAAGATCTCACAGCAGGATCCGACTAAGTTTGCAAGCTTTGTGTAATTAAATGTTCATTAGTCATTCAAAGATTTATTTAAATGATATAAATGCGTATTTGCTGAATGCTGATGGCAAATGAGAAAGTATTATAATGTTTGCCTTTCTATTACTAATAATATAAAAGCAATCATTATAATACTTTTTGTATACATTTTAATTCCTTTGTTTAACCGTTCTATCTGATTAACTGTTAATGACGATGGCGGACAAGAGGGAGAAGGTGAGTACTGTGCTCAGGCGCTGCCACTGTCAGAGCCATCAAAATAAAAGTCGAATGCATCGGCCAAACAGGAAAACTTATTGCCCGATGCCGATATTTTAAAAATGCCAAATATTGGCCGATATATCGGTCGACCACTACTTAGGACTAGTAAAGTTACAGCGCCTTTTGTAGAGCTGTTTCACAGCTGAATCGCACGTTGACTTAAGTTGAATAATGAACAACATTTCTGCCTTATGTAAAACTGCTTATAACTGAATTGAACTTGTATCAAATTTAATACATTTCACACTGTTATATTAGATTGTTACATTAATTATAATTATTTTGCTCAAAAAATATAAATCATTATTGCACTTACACACAAGAGCAAATCAAGAGAACATCAAATTATATGGTTTGCTCGCAGATTTAGTCGCAGCAAACAGCACAAATGAAAAAATAAAAATAAATAATAAAAAAAAACAGTTAGGCTTTATTTTCACAGCAAATGATTACAGCTTTTCACTAGATTTGTAGTGAGACGCGTTTTTGTAAGCATGGTTTCACTGATGCTGGAGTTTTCCTTCAAAATAAAAGCTCTACTGCCATTTCCGTCAAAATAAACGTGCCATTATGAATTGCTGACAGCTATCGGTTTATTGCGGTTTAAATGCAGTCCAAATTCAAAATATCTCTTTAAAGTGTAGAAGTTAGAAAAGTAGTATTGTATTGTAATAGTGTAAGGCAAAAAACAATATACCTATGAAATATTCATTTTCATTTATTTTACAGTGCAATTATTTTACAATATATGGCTATTTCTGTCATTGTTATTATTATTATATTCTAATTTGCTTGGCTTCCTAAAACACCAGTGTAAATGTAATTTAGACTGAGACAGTATACTAGGCTTGTGACGGTGAGGAAATTTTCCCACCGGTTAATCGACGTGTGACAACACCGGTAATACCGGTATCACCGTTGTGCAGTTTTCCCCCTTTTCTTTCCGTTTTAAATAGCTTGTAAAAGCGCCGTGCACATTTTACTTTCACTTTCAAATGAGCTGAAATTCGGTGTCAAGCAGTTGTTTGTTTTTAGTTTGTTTGAGTTTTCCCTCTTTTCCTCACTTTCCTTCGCTTTTAAATAGCTTAAAAGCGTTGTGCGCATTTTACTTTAATTCAATTCAAGCAACAACAAAATACAACGTAGAACATAGAACTTTTATTAACAAAACGAATAAAAATACACCATGCTATATGCCTAATATAAAACAACAAATAACTTACACAAAGTTTAGGTAAACAAAACTGAAGATCAGTAAACACTGTGGAACCAAATAAATAAGAAACGTACGTTTATTAGCAAAACGAATAAGAAAGATTGGAGACACGGCATACTTGATGTAAAATTAAAAAAAAAATACACAGTTTAAATAAATAAAAATCAGAAAACACTGTGGAACCAAATAAATAAGAAACGAATGTTTAAAAAAAACCTTCCAATATCACCTTAGATAAATGGCAGAAGTCAACAGGCTTTTCAAAATCCGAAATATTTTTATAACAGGTGCTTTTGCATGTCGTAAACTCTTCTGCCATCGTCTTGTCTGTCTCACCTCACTCTTCTTGTCAGCTTCTCATCACGTGATAAATGAAATATGATCTGTGATGCGACTGTCGTTCGACACGTTACGTTCAATTTTAATTGTAGTGTCTGTTCTCTAACTGAATTAAATGCTTTTTAGTACTATAAAAAAATTAAAACGACGGTGGGGGCGGTGCCGAGGTGGGCAAGTGACATAACCGGTGTTGCGGCTTCACACCGGTAAAACCATCAACACTGTCTATCGCCGCAAGTCTACAGTATACCACAACTAAAAAGAGGGTTGAGTTCCCTGTAAAGTTCAGGTACAAGTTAATTCACTGACTTTTTTATGACTTTAGTTTTCTATGGGTTGGAGCTCATAATTTTGAACTCTCAAAGTGCATTAGATATAATAATTTAACTTTAAAATGTACAATCCCCCCCCCCAATTCTTCATTTGTCTTTTTTTTTAATATTGCTATAAATATTGTATTGTGGACTTCATATTAACCCGATATAATCGTATCGTGAGATTTTGATATCGATACATCCCTAAAAAGAAATAAAACAAAGAAATATGTTTTTGGTAACAGAAAAAGTGGAAATGAAAATTAGCCCATTATTTACTCACCCTCAAGTCATCCTAGGCATATATGACTTCCTTCTTTCAGATGAATCCATATTAAAAATTTACTTTGAGCTTCCATGCTGTTTAATAACAGTCAGCGGTTGTTGCAGTGCATCAGTCCAAAAGACGTGAAATAAAGTGCATGCATCCATAATAAAAAAGTGCCTCACACGGCTCCGGGGGGTGAACAAAGGCCTCCTGTAGCGAATCGATGCATTTTTGTAAGAAAAATATCCATATTCAAAACGTAATAATCACTTTAATCTAGCTTGCGCCAACAGTTGTACACGGAAGCAGCTCCAGGAGGATGACGTAAGATGTCGGCATTGCGCATGCGCTGGTGAGTCTCGTGAAAACCAACGTTTGTTAACAGAAGCAAAGGAAGCTAAGTTTCCTTACTTTAGCAAAGGAAAACCAGTCTCCTCTTGGCTTATATCGAAATCCTCCGACATTCTTCTTTACAAATCCTTGTTTTATACTTCTAATTCGTGACCGTTGTTTTGTTTTGATCTCTTCCCTGCGCTTCAGTGTTCGTCACTTCTGAGCGGCGCATGCTCCTCAAAGACACTCACGCAAATATGCTAGCATTTGAAAGCAGCCGCCTGTTAGCAGGTTGGTAATCTGTGCGACTGGCACTGTGGAAAGACTGATATCACTACATTTTAAAATGTAAGCATTCGTCTTGGTACCGAAGTACCAGTAATTTTGACAACACTAGTGACTAAAGACAAACTTTATAAACAGTGATTCTGTCTACACTGGATACGCTGTGACTTGAGCAACAAATCCCTGACAGTAAACTGATGCCTCATTCTATTCATGACATACTGACAATAAAGGACAAATGATTCACTGTGAAGCTGCTTTGACACAATCCGTATTGTATAAAGCACTATAGACATAAAGGTGACATTAGAGTAGTAATATTTACCTTAATATACTACTATGAACCTTTTAGGGTAAAAAAAGAAAATGGCACAAAGATGTCCTCTTGAGGGGACTGGCCCAGTGCCAAGCTGTTGTATCCCAAAGTCACATTCAATGGCATAGAGCTGTTTAAACTATTATGAATGACGTGTGGAAATCTACTGAGTTTCCTGCTGAGTTTTGTGAAACTCTTGCAGTCATAACATACAGAAAAGTCACTGAAATTCTTAAAAATCTTTAAACAAAACAGCTACTGTCCAGTGGAGCAACAGACCCACTGGAGTTCCCTTCCTCTCATGCATCTCTCTACCAACCATTTATGAAACGTATATGATATTGATTTAATCCATGTGTTTCCATACCTCTATCTCCCTGAGGGTCTCTTTCTGATTCATATGTGTATTGTAGTGTGGTAGTGTGGTTTATGATGTGTTTGTACTTGGATACGGGGCACAAGAGGAACATCTATCCTTTTCCTTTGTGCCAGTGTCTTTGTTTACCGTTCCATGTATATTTGGCTCTCAGCGCTATTGAGGAACAGAAGCATTTCACCAGATCTATAATGCGTGCGCTCTGTTGATGCATCCTGCACAGTTGGTTGATGGGATTTCATTGTGTAGAGTGTTTACCTGGAGTTACAGCAGAGCAGAAGCATCTCTCTGTTGTTCATAAGGACCTGCAGAAGAACGAGGAAGGCCTTGGCACGGATGACTGAAGACGGCCTCTCCAGAGAGCGGATTATCTTCATAACAAAGTCCTGCAAAGAGGCGTTCAAGCCGTTAGCACAGTCTTGTTAGCGCACATGCATCATTTAAAGAGACCGGGAGGTCTCTGGACATTCAGTGTGGCATAAGCCCCAATTGTCTGACAGTAATTTGACAGGTGCTATCACTTACACAGCGAGGTGCTGGAGGGGATGGAAAAGCCCCCCAAAATGCACTTGATATAAAACAGAGGTTAATAAGCTAATGAGTTCCACAGCATTTAGTGGGCAGCAAATCAGGAGGAATTGATTAACTTTCACTATCAGCCTAATTGGGGGGGGAACTGGCAAAAGCAAAACAATCCGAAACATTAGGATTAACTACAGCTCGAGAAGGGGAGTTAATTAATTTCAAACGCACCAACTGTACTCTCGGTATGGATCGTAATTGCATCAACAGTATTCCAAGCTGCACTCCGAGATTGCGGCACTTCCTTACCCAATTAGCCCAGTCGCTTGGCGCTTCGTTGAAATTTAAATTCTATGCTAGACAATGTATGAATAAACACGCCGCGTTCTGGACTTCTATTCGTCAGGGGAATTAAGCTGAGAAATCCACAGCAGTTTATAATTGGTCCGGAGGTGATCCAGTAAGTTTTAAGATTTTTTTTTTTCTAATATTCAGACTCAAATTGGAAATTTGCATGCAAATGAATACAGGTCAAAGAAAATTTGCATTGTTAATCTGAGAGGGCCTTGAAGGCAGTATACAGTGGCATTTAAATCAATTTCAACAGCCCATTTTCCGATTGATTACTGCCTCAGATAAAGAGCTAAACAGAGTTTTGTTCATTCTTGACACGGCCCATGGCCTGCATTGCTTCACGGGCTGCTGGCTAAATCTAGGAGAAACAGAAGTTTCAGTTTTTGAAAAGAGGTTAGAAAAGAACTGCTTGCAAAGGTGATTGCTTATGAAGACTAGACATTATTGTTGAGGTAGTTTGATTAAATGTAGGAAAATAAAAACACTAACACTATTTTTTTTTTTTTTTTAGAGAAACAAACACTTTCTCTTGTTAGAAAAGATTTGTATTTAAAATAAATGTTGTTCTTTTGCACTTTTCATTCATCAAAATATTAAGCTGCACAACTGTTTTCAACTTTCAATACAGGGTTTCTACAGATATGTGAAAATGTAAGACTTAAGACCTTTTTAATACCACCTTATATGAAATTTAAGACCTAAACCTGTAATGGAAATACACATTATATTACATACATACTGTATATGTAATATTTAATGTGTTTAATGTAAAAAGAAAAAAAATCATCACTGTCATAAATATTTATTAGTACGATATACAGTGAACTTTTTATATCAGCAGACAATATTCCACACAAAATATTCCCACAAAACTACAGCATCACCGATATTTTTGGTGGTGTAATCAATTATTCTGAAGCAATATTTTCATCAGTGTTTTATCAGCTTTTACATACTTAAATCTGTATATTTTTATTTACCTTTAAAAAGGCCTATTTTTTAAACTTTTTAAATGTATACATCACCTTTCATGTCAAATTATTACAATATATCAATAAATTCTATAGGGCTGTTAAATAATTTACACTGCAAAATTACAACTGCAATAAATAATGTTATGAGATTTATGTTTTGAATACATTTATGAATATACAAACAAGAAATGTTGGGGGGAAATGCATACTTTTCAACATACAAAACTACTATTGAATCATATGGGTAGCAACATTCATTTTGAAATGTAATATGCAAAATGGCAATGGTGCGGAAAACTACCACGGTGTAAGGTGGCAAGTAAATAAGTGTAGAATCTGCTTATGTGCATCAATCGGAGTGTAAAACAGTGACTGCGTTTACATGGACATCAGTAATCTAATTATTTACCTTATTCTAAATAAGCCAATGTTATGATTATGGTGTTTACATGAGTTGCTTTTAGAATATTCCTTTCATGTTCCTGTTTTACATGTTACAGTACATAGCTCGATTAATGGCATACATCATTACGTCCCCACGTGACGCCAGCCGACAGTTAATTATTTGTACATGCATACAGACGACGGAGGTGTTGAAGCTCTTTTATTTGCCGTCAAACGGTTGAGCACTGTCGTGTGTGTATCCTGTCGCAAAATGCGGCGAAAAGTCCTACACGACGGTAAAAATGTGATTAAGGTGGTTACATGTCTATTCTGCACTTCAGTAATGCGACTAAAATAGGAATACTCCACATGTCTTAATTCAATTTCTGTTTACTTTGATGATGACTTTAGCCAGATTAAGGTAATCAAAAATCTCTGTTTACATGGTAGATTCTTAATCAGAGTATTGTCTTAATCGTATTAAAATCGGAGTATTGTTGTCCATGTAAACGTACTCAGTGAGAGATGTTGAGGCAGGTAAAACGTGTTTAGTTAATGGGGAATATTGACCTATTGTGCGTCTTGTTGCCGAGCCCCGCCTTGATATAATGATTGACAGGTTGGGGGCGTGATCGGCTCGGAATGCATTTTCAAATCCACATTGACTTAAATGACATTATCGCGGGGTATTTAATGAAAATGCAATTGAAACGTCTCAAGTGTAAGTGTCAATGCATTTAAGAAAAAACAGACATTTAAATCACCATTTTTGCAACCATTTTGCTGCACATTTGGCTCAGAATGCATTTTAAAATTCGCACTGCATTTTGCTACAATTATCACGTGGTATCACGATGAAAATGCAATCTCAAGTGTCCTACCCATAAGTCTAAATGCATTTAGGAAAAATGGCATTTAAATGATAATTTTGCCAGTTTTGCTTGTACATGTTAAACATATCTAATCAATTTTGGTAATACAATTTCATTTTAATTGTGCAACTCATAAAGCATTAAAATGTTTTTAATTTACATATTAAAACTAGTGTAGAAAATGGCAAATGTAAATTATATAATTTAATTTTCATTTTGCACTAAATGTTGCACATATGGGTATGGGAAAATGTAAGCTTAAATAAAGAAATGCATCGCCATTTTACATATTGCATTGTCATTTTACATATTACATTTCAAAATGAATTTTGCTACCCATATGCTTCCATAAACTACCAGTAGGTGGCAGTAAGTCACTTAATGAGTTAGTCATTGAGTCATTGATTCAACCGATTCGTTCAAAATGCTGACTCATTCAGTAACAAAACACCACGGAGTGTTGCTTGGAGAATGAGCAATACTTCTTCTGGGATCTTTGTTTGGAACTATTTTCGTTGGTGAAACGGAACAAAACAGTAAATATTGCATCTAAAATGTAAGTAACTTATTAACTATACTTGAATACTTAACTACTTGTTTATTGAACTAAAATCAATGTAACATTTGCAATCGTGAGAATATTCAGCATACTCATCCCTTGGTATGTTACTGAAATATATCATGTTATAAATAAAATACACATTTTGAATTTATACCTCAGTGTTTCTTCTGAGTTTCTTTATGTGTGCTGTTACGCTCATTTGTTCTGAAGTCTCTCACAAAGAGATCAATCGCCATTATCTCCATTATCAATCGCTGTTTACGTAGAATGTAATAAAATCAGAAGAATCATTATTTCGTTTCGAAGCTCCGCTGGTCATTTTTTTGTCAATTAATTTTTAATCAGGCTGTTTGTCCGGTCAGGCAAGTAAAAAAAAAAAAAAACATTTTACAATTATTATTGAGAACATTATATACACAAAGAAGTTTGATCGACCTGGTGTTGAAGCTCTTTTATTTGCCGTCAAACGGTTGAGCACTGTCGTGTGTGTATCCTGTCGCAAAATGCGGCGAAAAGTCCTACACGACGGTAAAAATGTGATTAAGGTGTTTACATGTCTATTCTGCACTTCAGTAATGCGACTAAAATAGGAATACTCCACATGTCTTAATTCAATTTCTGTTTACTTTGATGATGACTTTAGCCAGATTAAGGTAATCAAAAATCTCTGTTTACATGGTAGATTCTTAATCAGAGTATTGTCTTAATCGTATTAAAATCGGAGTATTGTTGTCCATGTAAACGTACTCAGTGAGAGATGTTGAGGCAGGTAAAACGTGTTTAGTTAATGGGGAATATTGACCTATTGTGCGTCTTGTTGCCGAGCCCCGCCTTGATATAATGATTGACAGGTTGGGGGCGTGATCGGCTCGGAATGCATTTTCAAATCCACATTGACTTAAATGACATTATCGCGGGGTATTTAATGAAAATGCAATTGAAACGTCTCAAGTGTAAGTGTCAATGCATTTAAGAAAAAACAGACATTTAAATCACCATTTTTGCAACCATTTTGCTGCACATTTGGCTCAGAATGCATTTTAAAATTCGCACTGCATTTTGCTACAATTATCACGTGGTATCACGATGAAAATGCAATCTCAAGTGTCCTACCCATAAGTCTAAATGCATTTAGGAAAAATGGCATTTAAATGATAATTTTGCCAGTTTTGCTTGTACATGTTAAACATATCTAATCAATTTTGGTAATACAATTTCATTTTAATTGTGCAACTCATAAAGCATTAAAATGTTTTTAATTTACATATTAAAACTAGTGTAGAAAATGGCAAATGTAAATTATATAATTTAATTTTCATTTTGCACTAAATGTTGCACATATGGGTATGGGAAAATGTAAGCTTAAATAAAGAAATGCATCGCCATTTTACATATTGCATTGTCATTTTACATATTACATTTCAAAATGAATTTTGCTACCCATATGCTTCCATAAACTACCAGTAGGTGGCAGTAAGTCACTTAATGAGTTAGTCATTGAGTCATTGATTCAACCGATTCGTTCAAAATGCTGACTCATTCAGTAACAAAACACCACGGAGTGTTGCTTGGAGAATGAGCAATACTTCTTCTGGGATCTTTGTTTGGAACTATTTTCGTTGGTGAAACGGAACAAAACAGTAAATATTGCATCTAAAATGTAAGTAACTTATTAACTATACTTGAATACTTAACTACTTGTTTATTGAACTAAAATC